TAACTGGCTTAAGAAGATGGCTGAATAATATTTCATTCACAAAATGGAATATTAACTAGCCATTGAAAAAGAGTGAAATATTGACACTTGCAGCAACATGGATGGACCTAGAGAGTATCATACTTAGTGAATTAAATCAGAGAAAAACAAATACTGTATGATATCACTTTTATGTGGCACCTAAAATAATACAAATGAAAGTATGCACAAAACAGAAACAGACTTACAGACACAGGAAACAAACTTATGGTTACCAAAGTAGAAAAAGAAGGGAGAAGGGGCAAATTAGGAGTATGAGGTTAACAGACACAAACTACTGTACATAAAATAGAAAGGCAACAAGTATTTACTGTACAGCACAGGAATCACACCCAGTATCTTGTAGGAATCTATTACTATAAAGAAAAATAACATGAAAAAAATGTTTTAGAGATTATGAACAATTAGCATTCAGTTAACAAATACCACTTTATATTCAGAATGTAATATTACAATGTAAATAAAAGCAGTTACTACTTAAACTGTCACTTTACCTCAGCTGCCATAAAAATACAAATAAAACAGTCAAATATCAAATTTTTAAAAGTTCAGACATCATCTCTTTCAAAACCTTCTGATGCTCCTCACCACCAGACCAGGCAGTAAGTACCCTGCAGGATCTCCACCACCGTAGATCCCTGCAGCACTGAGGTGATCTGTTCGCCAGGTTAAACCCTATTTGGGCAGAGACTGGGCTACATTTCTATCCCTGGGGCAAAGCTGGAGTGGGCACTAAGGAATCCCATAGTCATCCTATCCTAATAGGCCATTGCCTGCCTCCCTATGACAACAGACACCCCCGCTTCAACATGTGAGTCTCTGGACCATGTTTTCAGATCCTGACCCAAGGGTGTTTTTATCCTCAACTAAAATTCAAGACCGTCATTGGAGGTGAGGTTTTTTAAATCTCAGTGGGCTTTTTAAACCATATGTCCAAGCACCAGGACCTCGATGCTTGTAACTGACGTGTGCTGCACAGGCCGCATGCAGTTTCCCAGTATCTCCACCACAAGCGCCTTGGCTGCTCAAGCCCTTGCTCCTCTAGTCCCACCTCACCCATAAGGTGCAGGCTGGGGTCAGACACCATGAGGAGTGCGTCCCCTGGCCTGTGCACTCAAGAGGCCACTGGGTGCTCGGCTCAGATGTCATATTCTCACAGAGGGTTCCCCTGACCACCTGACAGAAAAGAAGAATAATCTGTCAGTTACTTCCACCCTCTTCTGTTGCTTCATTTTCTTCACCGAGTTCATACTGTGTGAATCCCAACTGTGACTTCCATACCTTTCCTATAACATTGTATTCACAATAAAGGTGATTTTTAAAAAATTTTCATCACAGTTTGATGGAAAGTTAACTTTTCCTCAGTATATCACTTTTTCTTTTTATTCTTAAAGAAGGATTCTCTGGATCATGTTTCAGACATGGAAGAAGTTTGCAAAATTTACAAAAGAGGAAAAAGAAAAAGAAGAGAGGCGAGAGCAGCTCCGTAGAAAGGTAGCTGAAATTCTTCCAGACTTTCAGATGTTCACACTGCTGTGACTCGGCTATACAGCAATCAGATGCCATTGGGTAAAGAGTCTGTGGTGGACAGGGGGGCCACAGCCCACACAGGCGCAGTGCAGTGCCTACAATGGGAGTCTCATCAGTCCGTGTGTGGGTTACCTCCACCCACCCACATATACGTGCAAATATCTGGCTTATGTTCTGTCACATGCTTTTTGGATCAAAGAAATTATTTTGTGAATGTATACTTCCTTCTTTGATTTCTCTTGGATTGCTCATCAGTCCAGTAAAGCATTTATCAAAGCAGAACCATCCAAAGGAAAAGTTTTGGGCTCTGCTGTTCAGATGTACCCTATATATTTTTAGTATCATAAACTTTAAAAAGGACAGTGTTTGTTTGCCTAAGACTGTGCAGGAAAATGTGTCCTTATAGCTTAATGTGAATTGTTGACAAATGTAACTAAATAGAAATTAAAAGTAGTGAATACTTAGAAAAGGAGGGCCAGTCATCTAGTCCCTTAGCGTCAGCAACAGGCATTTTGCCAGACCCTGTCCATTTTGCCCACCTGATGGAAAACTGTGAATCAAAAGGCACTCTGGGAAGCCGCTGCAAAGGGTAGCAGTGTGTCCTGATTTCAGAGAAACCGGGGCACCAAAGATACTTCTCCTCAGTGCACTTTTATAATGTGAAGAGAAGTCCAAAAGCAAAGACTATCAAAGGCTGTCCAGCAATCTGTTAAAATGTCGGCTCACGTTTCCAACTTGAAATAATACATTCGATCTGTCTTCTAATCCTCAGCTCAGCTTGATCTGTGTATCAAGGTTGTTGTTCAGTTGCCGAGTACTTTCAACTCTGTGACCCCATGGACTGCAGCACCCCAGGCTTCCCTGTCCCTCACCATCTCCCAGAGTTTGCCCAAGTTCATGTCCACTGAATCAGTGATGCCATGCAACCATCTCATCCTCTGTCACCCTCTTCTTCTTCTGTCTTCAGTCTTTCCCAGCATCAGGGTACTTATCTTGAATTCAAAGAATGTTTTAATCTTTAAGGTGCTAAAGAATGTAAAGACTGACACAACACTCCTATGAACTGTCTGAAAGAGTTACCTGCTAGAAAAAAAAAGTTTTCTTTACAAAGTACATGCTTATAACAACAAATTCAGGCAGTAAATGCACACAGTAAAATGAGACAGTCTCTTGCAGCCCTGAGGTAACTACAACTATTTGGTAAGGTTAAAATTTGAGTTGACAATGAAAATTCTGTGTGTTGTTCAATAAATCCTGTTATTGTCTCTTACTTCCTAGAAAGGATATCTAGCTAAACCACCTACAAAATGACATATCCTTCTTCTATGGAAGATGTGTAATGATTTACTCAGATACAAAAATAAAAAACACTATATTGAACTTTATTTCTTCCAGTGTCCCTATTCTCACTTTTCTTTTCCTTTAATATGATTGCTATTAAAGGCTACTACTGACACAACACTCCTATGAACTGTCTGAAAGAGTTACCTGCTAGAAAAAAAAAGTTTTCTTTACAAAGTACATGCTTATAACAACAAATTCAGCCAGTAAATGCACACAGTAAAATGAGACAGTCTCTTGCAGCCCTGAGGTAACTACAACTATTTGGTAAGGTTAAAATTTGAGTTGACAATGAAAATTCTGTGTGTTGTTCAATAAATCCTGTTATTGTCTCTTACTTCCTAGAAAGGATATCTAGCTAAACCACCTACAAAATGACATATCCTTCTTCTATGGAAGATGTGTAATGATTTACTCAGATACAAAAATAAAAAACACTATATTGAACTTTATTTCTTCCAGTGTCCCTATTCTCACTTTTCTTTTCCTTTAATATGATTGCTATTAAAGGCTACCAAAATGGCTGCTAAAGAAATGGGACTAAAAGCAACGGATAGTTAACCTCTTCCTGTCTAAATCACAATCTGTTTTCACTTATCTTTAGCACACTGGCTGGTATTAGCAGTCAGATAAAATACCAATTTTGTTTTAATGCCAAGCCAGTAGATAAGGAAGAGTGGATCCCTCAAATAAACCTGCCAGGGGTCTAAATAAATTGCAGAAAGCTCAAGTTTTCTCTCTTAAGCTTTATTTTACTTTTATTTCACCTCAAGCATCAGTTGAACTTGAGTCTTCAGCAGCCCACATTCTGATTGTTTCAGCAAGGACTTTTTACCTCCTTATAGAACCTTCTGAAGAGACACAGGAAAATAACTTAGAAAATTACCTACTTAGCAAGAAACTTAGTAAATGACCTAACAATTTTCTTGCTGCTATATCATAAAGATAAAATTTAAATGCTGGAGAGGGTGCGGAGAAAAGGGAACTCTCTTACACTGTTGGTGGGAATGCAAACCAGTACAGCCACTATGGAGAAAAGTGTGAAGATTCCTTAAAAAACTGGAAATAGAACTGCCATATGACCCAGCAATCCCACTGCTGGGCATATACACTGAGGAAACCAGAATTGAAAGAGACACGTGTAGCCCAGTGTCCATCACAGCACTGTGTTACAATAGCCAGGACATGGAAGCAACCTAGATGTCCATCGGCAGACAAATGGATAAGAAAGCTGTGGTACATATACACAATGGAGTATTACTCAGCTATTAAAAAGAATGCATTTGAATCAGTTCTAATAGGGTGGATGAAACTGAAGCCTATCATACAGAGTGAAGTAATTCAGAAAGTAAAACACCAATACAGTATATTAATGCATATATATGGAATTTAGAAAGAAGGTAACAATGACCCTAGATGCAAGATAGCAAAAGAGACACAAATATAAAGGACAGACTTTTGGACTCTGTGGGAGAAGGTGAGGGTGGGATGGTTTGAGAGAATAGTATTGAAACATGTATATTACTATATGTGAAACAGATCGCCAGTCCATGTTCGATGCATGAGACAAGGCACTCAGGGCCGCTGCACTGGGATGACCCTGAGGGATGGGATGGGGAGGGAGGTGGGAGGGGGTTTCAGGATGGTGGACACATGTACACCCATGGCTGATTCATGTCAATGTATGGCAAAAACCACTACAAAATTGAAAGTAATTAGCCTCCAATTAAAAAAATAAGATACGATTTAAAATGTTATTACTGGACTTCCTTGGTGGTCCAGTGGTTAAGACTCCAAGCTCCAGTGGAGGGGGGAAGGGGAGGCAGGTTTGATCCCTGGGGGACTAAATTTGCACATGCTGCCCAGTCAAAACCAAAATGAAACACTGTTGCTAGTAAATGCCCAAATAAGCAGTATCCCCACCCTACACAAGGGGAAAAGTAACCACAAGGAAAAGAATAATTGAGGGTTGGGGGCAGTTTCCCTCCACAGCATGCAGAGAAGCAGGTAGCCAGAGAGGCAGCCCAGCTCTAGTGCAGGTTTTTCTTAAAGCTCAAGAGTTCAGGAGACAAACCAAGAAGCATCAACTATTTTCCTTAAAGAAAGCACTTTATTTTCCCTTTAAACAACTTGGTCACAGTACATTATTTTACATGAATGGCAGTCATTTTTTAAATCTCCACTTAAAAGGCCTTGTGTCTGAGTCTGAGGTGGTAAGAGGATATGAATACAAGTATAAAAACAGTGCAAAACGTTTAGCCCACAGCCTCCAGAGTTGGCTTCAGAAATCCCCTCTAACGTTGCTGAGTTAGTTACATTAAATATGAAATTTAATATTAAATAAATTTTCCTGGGCTTCCTCTAGTCTAACATCAGACCCAGAAATGTAATCATATGAAAAGTCTCAGAAGCCCTAACAACTCAAACCGTCAAAATCACGCAGACCATAGGATCACAACAGGATGAGTTTGTGAGTTCTATAACACAGCATCTTGTCAGTGGCACCATCTGAAGAAACAGCGGATTTTAGTTGCATCCATAACTAGAATAGACTAGCTGTGGTTTTAAAGCTTTGCTCTCAGAAGTATGATTTTTCTATAAGTAAAAGATGCCATCAGGAAGGTTAGAGTAGTGACAAGTCACAGGCCTGATGGAAATAGTCACAACCCCTAAAGGTCTCTGTTCAACCAGTTTTTGACCTGCTGCTGATACTACAGTGAAAAGCTTTGTGCCAACTGAAGTGGGAATAACTATCCATTAGAAACAGGATTTTGCTGATTTTGCAAAAAGTTTGTATTAGTCACAACAAACATCCAGAAGAACATACTGAATTTTCTTCAGCATTAAGTGAAGCTTAGTTCTCATTCACAGCCTGCATCACCTTTGTAATGTTTAATACAAAATGGCACACTTTTCCAGCTTCTAATGAGAAAACCATTTTCCAAACAGGTGCCTCAAGCAAAAGTCTCCATTATCCATTTCTTATTTGAGGAAATGCTTTTTAAAATACAGGATACCAAAATATGGCTAAAATGAAGTTGTCATATAAACCTACTTACCTAATTTAAAGAGACCTTAAACCTCACAAAAATTAATTTTTAAACATCCTGGTTAAAACTGTGCTTCAAGATGTCATATTTTTGCTTATATAAGTTGAATTTAATAATAAAAAAGCTAACATCCTACCCAAAGGCAGTCTATTAAGCAGAAGGTCACTCTTACAGAGAAACTTAACAGCATTGTGTCTTCTGGCAGTGGAAGACTCTAGTATAGAAAATTTTTTCTTGCTAAAAATTTTACAAATACCAAGGACTACTGCATAAGAGAAAGTCTGTAGCAGTCTTTCTGCTAGGCAGATGGTACAGTGGAAGACCAGTACTTCATTCACCAAAGGAAACCACCACTACTTGGAAAGCAAAGATTTATAGGATCCTAAACACACACACACCGGTGGCTGACATGAGAAGAGCAACCCAGCATCCCCAAAACACACTTAAGGCTTGACTTCAGCAGCATCAGAGAAACCTACCAAAAAGGCATTGTCAACAGATGGTCAGCTTGCTTCAGGTGTGACCAGCAATAACCACAAAGTACTCTTTGGGTACCATAAGAAACGTTTTTAAGTATTGAAGGATTTTCTCCCTTTATGCAGTCCTGATCCTTAATGGTTTCTCCCTCTGATCTTCCAAGTGGACCCCTTTCTCTTCCCCAGGAAGAGGACACAGTGGCATGACCATAATGTAAGTGGTCAGATCACAGTAGATCATTTAGTAAACTCCACATCCAGTATGTTTAACAGAGGCTGAGGACATGGGGTGAAAGGGGGAGACCCACTTGTCTGCACTATATTGGGGCAAGCCTGCTCCTATAGCCAAGAAACTGTGGGCTTCAGGTTTGCTGGGCAATTCCCCACAGTCACCACCACCTTTCTCTGGGGCTCATTCATTCACAGAGGCCTTGTCCTTTTTTTTTTTTTTGCGTTTTTTTCAATGAGTTTATTTATTTGTGGTTGTGCAGGGTCTTCATGCTGTGTGGGCTCTTCTCTAGCTGCGGCAAGCAGAGGCTGCTCTCCAGTGTGTGTGTGGGGAGGGGGGGTGTAGGCTTCTCACTGCGGTGGCTCCTCTTGTTGCAGAGCACGGGCTCTGGCGCCCACAGACCTCAGTACTGTAGCTCCCACGCTCCAGAGCACCGACCCAGAGGCTGTGATGCATGGACTCAGCTGGTCTGCCATCTGGGGTCTTCCCAGACCCGGGGTGGAACTCGAGTCCCCTGCTTTGACAGGGGGGCGACTCTTTACCACTGAGCTGCCAGGAAAGCCCTCAGGCTATTTTAGATTCTAGTTTTCCATGCTCCTATCTGGTGAGAGAGGCCTGGGAGCTGGCAGTCCTCAGCCACAGTCCTGGCTCTGCCATCAAAAGCGCCGGGGCAAGCGCCTGCTCCTCCCTCAGTCGTGTCTGACCCTTTGCGACCCCACGGACCACAGCCCGCCAGGCCCCTGTCCATGGGATTTCCCAGGCAAGACTACTGGAGTGGGGTGCCATTTCCTTCTCCAGGCCTTGTCCTTTAAAAGAACAAAATCCCTCATATGGTTCCAGATGGTAAAAAGGCTTGAAAGTCCAGGAGTACAGCTAAAGAACGTCCCAGAGTCTACAGAAACTGCTCACAGATAGTCCCTTGGCTGTTGCTCCTTTTGGTGCAAATACTTCAATAGGCTTTTACCTCCACAAAACCACTGAGCTTTGCCAAGGTTTGTGCTTTCTTCTGTAAACTGCCAATCATGAAGTTCTCAACTTCAAACAAGCACCTTAATTCCAATCAGCCAGAATAATATGCAAAAAAAAAGTCCTTATCTGAGTGAGGGAAACAGTGAATTGCCCATCCAGGTAACCCTATTGTGGGTGTGTGTTATAAAGATGGTGATCATTCTTCATTCTCCCAAATGAGTCTGGTCTTTTGAGTAAAGACCATCTTCATCTTTATCTTCAGCTGGGGGCTTCCCAGGTGGCACCAGTAGTAAAAAATCTGCTTGCCAATGCAGGAGATGTAAGAGACACAGGTGTGAGCCTTGGGTCGGGGATATCCCCTGGTGGAAGAAATGGCATCCCACTCCAGTATTCTTGCCAGGAGAATCCAATGGACAGAGGAGCCTGGGGGGCTACAGTCATGGGGTCACAAAAGGGACACAACTGAGCCTCTGAGCGCAGGCACATCTTCAGCACAATGTATTTTCATTGTTGCTAAAGATTTGGCCAGAGGCCAAGATTACGGACTATCCTAACATTTCTGTGAATTTTATTATCAATTGCTAAGCAATCTGAGTTGGTTATGAATCTGGCATTCAAGAGACTACAATCAGAGATTTCTGGCCACGTGTGCTCTCCTTGACATTATTACTCTCTCTTATCTCCAACCCATACACAAAGGAATTAGTTATATCAAATCCAATGAATTCCAAATGAATGCCTGATTCTGGGCCAGGGATAGGGCATTACTGTACAAACCACAGACTGCTAACATCCCCAGACTTGCTCTTTGGCTCATCATCAATGTAATATGGAGTCCATCGTTCATTAAACAGTCCATCTCTGGGGAGAGCAATGACAAGCTTGTATAAAAATGTGTGTGTCGTGAGGAGGGCCTTGATTAATGGCAGGACGAGGGGTGGTGCCAGCTGCAGAGGGCAGAGTTGTAGAAGTAGCAATATTTCCTCTCGACCTTTATAAACCTCTTGCTACAGCAGCACACACAGAAAGACTGAAAAAGCTGGCAATATTTTTCCTATGTTAAGCTATAAGCCAAGGCAAATTTAAGACTCATGAATTCTTTGGGGTTCTACAAAGAAGTACAGGTACAAAACCAAGTATTTCAAGAGCTGTATTTTCCCCATGTGAAATCAATTGCCTTACCTTAATTCTATGGCAGAATGGGCCCATGCCAAATAGTTAATCATTTATACATTTTCCATTTTGAAATATGATTAAAGAAACAATTTAGTAAGAACTAGGGAAGAACAGTAATCTATTATTAGTGGAAACCACATATACCCTGTTTCTTCTCTCCCAGTGAGACACTTTTATCTTGGGAAAGGTGAATGAGAAGAAGGTGCAAGTTAAGTGGGAAGACATCAATCAGTCACTCAAAAAGAGCTCATGCCAGAACAATGTGAATGCCAAAAGACTGGTTTTTGCAACTTAGTGCTGTTACTGACAGTATCTGTATTACTTACGTGAACAAAAACGTCAAGCCCTTGGTATAACCAGCCACCCTACCCAGCCAGGAAGAGTGAACTGTTTCCCATAGGAGTGTCTGTTCTTGTCCAGTCATTGTCACAAGTGTGCAAGCACCTGATCAGGCAAAACATGGGAAGAAAAAAACATGGATGCCTACTGGAGTTACCTGAAGTAAATCCAAACAGAATAAATACATAAGAAGTAAGATAAATATAAGAATGCATCACCTAAATTCATGACCACTGTACATTATACTAGTAATAATTATGCTTAAAATCATCAACTGTCCTTTCAATATCAGATGATAGCATAAATCCATCTGGTCATCTGTGAGTAGTTAACATCTAATACTTCAGAAAGAGAAATTCCCCTAACTGTACAACATGGTATTTGAGAATCTGTTTTTCACTCTGAAATGCTGAAAACAGATTACTCTAATAATACTAGCTTCAATATTCCAACCTACAAATATTTATTCCAGTCTTAGGATTCTCCTAATAATACTTCATACCTCTCTGTGCTTTAGTTGTTTTTCCATGTTTTCTACATATCTCATCCCTCACGGGACCCCCGCACTCCAACAACCGCTCTGTGAGGTAGCCTGGGCAGGCAACAGTACGACTTGACAGATGAACCTGAGACTCAGCGAAGGGACTTGACTGAGGGTTGCATGGCTATTCAGAATTGAAAGAGGGACTAGAAACTCTCCTAATCCAAGGCTCCTTCTCCCATAGTAATGGGTGGAACTGCTTCTATCCATTTGTGCATTAGCAATCCACAACTTATGGTGACTTAGTTCGTTAGTAAGGTGACTGGAAAGGAATGGCTCTACTTCTACCTCTTTGATATAAAAATCTCTTTTAAGTTATGAAGTCAGAAAAATTCATTTCTTCCCAGTCCAGCGCCAAACCTGAGCATGGCCCTATAATGCCTGTAGGAATCAAAGGATAAACATGAGCATCCTGTGTGTACCAAAGTGTCTGATGCAAGGAAGCAGAGGGAGGAGCCACCCCCTCACCCCTGGAGCCATACAGAAGGCACTTCAGACAATGTCCTCGGCAGGGTGGTGGAAGGGGTGCACGCCCAAGGTGGAGAACTGGTGCCAGTTCCGCAGGAAGCCCCGATTGTACTGGCCTGTGTCCACAATGAGCCCGCAGAGCATCCGGCGCCCCGTCTTCTGTCGCAGGGCCTGCTGCACCTCCCTCTCGGTCACGTTGTAGCTGATGTTTATCAGCTGGATCAGGAAGATATAGGCCATGCTCCCCGTGATGATCACAGAGTACCACACGCAGGTGAAGCACAGAGCCGAGCTGGGAACGGGAAAAGGCAGGTCAGGGCGGCTGACACTTCACAATGAGAAAGCCATCCCCATGGTAACATTTTACACACACAGTACTTATTCTTAAGGACTCTGGCACCTTCCCTGATTACCCCATCTTTCCCATCTCTGGAATGCCAATAACCTGCTTCATTTATGACTAGTAAGATGTCCTATTTTATCATTAGCGGTGCCCCCTTTTCTAGGGTGTGAAACAGGAACAGCAAGGACCGTTCTGTGTGTTTTGCAGCCCCCATACAACCAACACAATACCTGACAACACCATTCAAAACCTGTTTGCTGAATGAGTAATTCCTAAATTGTTCTCAGTGCAGAAGAAAATAAAGGCACCGTGAGATTGCTGAAAACGTCCCTCAAGGAATTGTGGGTGGAAACCCAGGAGCAATGCTAAGGTTACTCATCTCTGTTCTCTTAGGTTGCTGAGCACAAGTCAGAGGACAGCTCCCTGCACAGGCAGCCCTTTCCCTGTCAGCTCTGCAGGAGCATCAGGAACACAACCACACTTCAAATCCCACTGCTTCAAACCAAACAAAACCCCATAGGGCAAGAAAGCCACTTCCAGCTCATCTGATGTCTGCCAATTGGTTATTTTCGGTCAACATTTGCAAATGAGTTAGCTGGAAACTGGTTCAGAATCTTCACTGTTAAGCTGAAAGAGACCTCAGGGATGATTAAAGCACTACAAAGATGAGGAAAACTAAGACCCAGGGAGGAGACATGAATCGTTGGTCCACAGCACTGAGAATATAGTAGCTGGACTATGTTCTCATTTCATTTATGAGGCCCACAGAAGATCTAGAAAACTCACACTTACTAGCATACAAGGACCCTGAAGGTCCTTTGCTTTCTTCTCACTCTTTGTTTTCAAGACACTCTGCTTTGTCCATCCAGGCGCTTGTCCATGGACAGCTCTGCTCCTTACTATTATAGACCCAGACATTCATGGGTATTAAAATAGATGAGTCCTCCTGGGGTTAAGACTGTCCTTTCTTCTTTATGTTGAGAATCTTCATAGGTTGTGAAATTCTTTGGTAACTACTATTCTTAGTGGCTTCTGTGATAAATGTCCTAAAGCAGAGTTTTGGGTGAGGCGGGTGGCGGGGGCCAGGCCAAAGCTAAAAAAATTCCAGCTTCTGTTAAAACATGGCAATCCTCACACTACAAATGGGCCCCAACCTAAAAACACTGAAGGAAATTTTGACCTAGATACTACAATAATCCTCGAGTGGTGATTAAAAAAAAAAACAGAACAGAAAAAAAAAATCAATGGAGGTTAAATAGAAAAGAAAGGTTACAGAGATTGTAAGCATTTCAGAAAAGGGTCAAAAGCAATAAATTAAGTCTGGGCTACAGAGCATCAGAAAGCAGCAATGAAGGGAGACATCCCCTGATCCTCACTTTTTAAGGTTGGCGCTCCTTCTGACATCACCCGAGAAAAATGAACATATCCGCTGCACAGTCATGTACGAGCAAATTTGGGGCTACCCAGCATCTCTAGAACCTGTCCTGTGTTTTGGGTGAGAACTTCTCACCCAGCCACAGATCACAGCCCCTTACGCTGACTGCAAACCCACTCCCTCTTCCAGGGGGCCCCTGTATGGAGATCTCACCTGTAATCTGAATATACTCCAGGGCAATAGAAGAGAGCTGTGAAGACACTTCTGTCTGTACAGATGGTGTCCAAGGTCAGCGTTATCCCATACACCGAGGTGAGCAGGAAGACCAAAAGGGCAAGTATAAATGCTTGATGGTTTGATTCTCCGACACAGCTATTTATCCTCAAAACAGCACAAGGGGGAAGAAAGCAAACATGTCTTTAAAAGTTCTCTATGTAACTCAATAAACAAGAAGGCATTTAATACAGGGATAGTATGCATTTCAGTTATTAAAAAAAATATATGTTCTCTTGTTTTCACTTTTAGGGAATTAAAAATTTGTCTGCTGAGAGATGTATTCTTACATTCTCTAATCTCTGCAAAGTGAAATCCTCTCATTCGTTTAAGGACAAAAGTACGTGAAAAGTAAAACATGGCTAACAAATCTTTCTAGATATTAGTAAGTGAGGTCTGTTACCCAATGTTAACACTGTCATCACTGCTATAAGGATAAGATGGTATCAGAGTTATAATAACTTAAAAATGCTAGATCAGAAGTATTACACAGTGTGGGAAAAAAATCCCTATTAAATACACATATTAATAAAAGATCCCAGGAGGTTAGAAATGCAGTGTGGGGTTGGGAAACAGCTCAATAGTATGCAGACTACTTGTCACGTACAGAGTTCCATGTCATGGCCGTTTGCAGGGCATGTTGATGGGCACATCAGGATAATCCAGTGGGCAGAGATCTCATAAGTGAGGCTATCAGGCCCTCTGCAAACCAGTGCTTGCAAATGGACCACCACCACCCTGCACACACACATGCAGGCATGCATGAGAATAAATGATGAAGACAGAGAAGAGGAAAACCTAAAAATGAAAATACCTGTTTACTCCTAAAGCCCAAAGCCCCAGAAAAACAGCTGTCCCTGTTCACAAGCCCTGAACTTAAGGTCTGCTTCTGTGCCATCCAGGCAGTCAGCACCCTCACCCTTCTCCACACCTCCTTCTAAGGGGGAGAGTGGAACATGACCGGAATCCTTGGCATAAGAAGAGTAATTCACTGACTGCAACTGCCTCAAGAGCAAGAAAGTTGCAAATAAGCTACTTAGAACATTCACACGGGAATGAATCACACCCCTTTTAAGATTTAGTCAGTAAAGCTGCAACATTTTCTTTAGAAGTCACATCTTACAGGCCTCAGGTGTCCTCATTTGTCACTGGGCAGCAAAGAAGTGCCCCCCAAAAGCCCACTTCTGCACAAATAACCAAATAGGGAATTATCTGTCAGGGCCGTAAGTCAAGAATGTAGACTAGAAATCATTGGCACATCTAAATGATGGAAGAATACACAGAGGATAAGAGTCACCTAGAGGTATAGGAACATGTTCTGAGCTATGTGAGGGAGATGCACGTATACTACTTCTAATACATTCTTTTTTTAAATGTCATTCAACTGTAGATACCTGTCTCATAGAAAGGAGAAAATGAGGGACAGCTAAGAAGAGAAAGCCACCCCCCCCCAAAAAAAAACACCTTCAGGAAATGACTGAAAAGAACTAAATTTGTGAAGCTCGAAAAACTGATGACTAAGTGGCAACATCATATAAAGCCCACAAATATCTACAAGGTGTAAAGCTGGGAAGGCGAGAAATGAGGATGGCACAAAGGAAAAGCACACTCAGCAAGAGTCTCACGTGAACTTATGTAGACTCTGCAAGCCTCCAGATCTTTCCAACATACCAGACACAGTGATGATCCATCCTCCTCACACAGATGCCGCAGATCCGGCAGTGCCACGCCCGGGCTGGCCGCACCAACTGGCACTTGGTGCACCAGTCCTCCCTCCCTTTGGCCGGGCTTCCGGCCGATGTCCTCGGGGAGTCCTTAGTCTCATCCTTGGGAGCGCGGTTGTTGAGACTGCCCAACAGATCTGCACTGGGGAACCCCTTGGTCTTCTCAGGCCCTTTTCTGTTCAGGCATTCGACCTGGCTGTCACTTAGAGCCCTGTTGTTGTGTGCTGGGTTTCTGAGGTAGCCTGGATTCTTCTTGGCTCTGTACAAGGCAAAGAGGATGAGCAATAACCCGAAGGTAAGAAGAGCCAGCCGAGTGGGCCCCACACGCCCCTTGGGGACCACTTCCTGCAGGAACACGTAGTACATGTAGCCCAGGGAGAACAGTCCGAGGCTCAGGAAAAACAGAGTCTGTTCTTTCCTTCTGTGAGTGAGGTAGTAGTACCACAGAGCCAGCATGGGGAGGGAGGTCAAAACCACCACCCCCAGCAAGAAATGCCAGGAAGCCACACGGAGGAAGACAGGCAGCAGGAACAGTGGGGGAAGGATGCTAATGTTAACTTTCTTGGCTCCCCTAAGCCAAGGAATCCGGAGGCGGTCTGAGATTGTGTCCATGATCTTTTCACAGGTCTCAGGCTGCACGGACTTACACGTGATCCATCTATTCAGAAAGAGCACAGAGAAGGCACATGGTACATGTTTGTTGAATTAAAAACCACCCCACACTGCAGGCCAGACAGCAAGATAAATGATAAAAGATGCCAAAGGCCAAGGATTTAACTTCTTTACTATTAAACAAGAACCTTACAGATTCATGTATAATTTTTTAATTCAAATGAGAAAATATTTAAATATTTAACAGAACTATTTCTACATGGGACAAATACACAGGAATAAACATATTCCACCTAAGTACTGTTCAGACTTGGGTAGCTGTCAAGACATAAAAATCTCAAAAAAACCATTCACAATTTAGTTGTGAAGACAACATGGGAATTCAAGAAATATTATTAGATAAGTGACAAAATATAGGGCTTCTCTGGTGGCTCCCAGGTTAAAGCATCTGCCTGCAATGTGGGAGACCTGGGTTCAATCCCTGGGTCAGGAAAATCCCATGGAGAAAGAAATGGCAACCCACTCCAGTATTCTTGCCTGGAGAATCCCATGGACAGAGGAGCCTGGTGGGCTATAGTCCACGGGGTGGCAAAGAGTCAGACACGACTGAGCAACTTCACTTTCAAGTGACAAAATAATAAAATCGACCAATGAACTATATATGCCAAACACTGTAAGGAACGCTCAGAAGAGAGGACACATTTCTGGGTGGAGTCATCACAGGGGTCTCTGTGGGAAAAAGGAATCTGTGCTGGAACTTGATGCTGGCTAGTATTCATCTGGGTGGGGAGGAAGGCAAGGAGGCATTCCATGGAGAGACTTGAGCACAGCAGAAAACCCATCCTGGGCCTGGGGAGTAAACCAGTTCAGAAGGGCAGGGGATGGCATCAGGAAGAGTAGAGATCACACTCAGTTCAGTTCAGTTCAGTCCCTCAGTCATGTCCGACTCTTGGTGACCCCATGGACTGCAGTACACCAGGCTTCCCTATCCATCACCAACCCCAGGAGCTTGCTCAAACTCACATCCATCGAGTCAGTGATTGCCATCCAACCTTCTCATGCTCCATCATCCCCTTCTCCTCATGCCTTCAATCTTTCCCAGCATCAGGGTCTCTTCCAGTTCTTCACATCAGGTGGCCAAAGTGTTGGTGTTTCAGCTTCAACATCAGTCCNCTATTTGGAACCAGTCTGTTGTTCCATGTCCAGTTCTAACTGTTGCTTCTTGACCTACATACAGATTTCTCAGGAGGCAGGTCAGGTAGTCTGATATTCCCATCTCTTTAAGAATTTTCCACAGTCTGTAGTGATCCACACAGTCAAAGGTGTAGTCAATACAGCAGAAGTAGATGTTTTTCCTGGAACTCTCTTGGTTTTTCTATGATCCAGTGGATGTTGGCAATTTGATCTCTGGTTCCTCTGCCTTTTCTAAAACCAGCTTGAACATCTGGAAGTTCATGGTTCATGTACTGTTGAAACGTGGCTTGAAAAATTTTGAGCATTACTTGCTAGCATGTGATACTAGTGCAATTGTGCAGTAGTTTGAGCATTCTTTGGCATTGCCTTTCTTCAGGATTGGAATGAAAACTGACCTTTCCCAGTCCTGTGGCCCCTGCTGAGTTTTCCAAATTTGCTGGCATATTGAGTGTAGCGCTTTCACAGCATCATCTTTTAGGATTTGAAATAGCTCAACTGGAATTCTATCACCTCCACTAGCTTTGTTCCTAGTGATGCTTCCTAAGGCCCACTTGGGTTCACATTCCAGGATGTCTGGCTCCAGGTGAGTGATTATACCATTGTGGTTATCTGGGTCATGAAGACCTTTTTAATATAGTTATTCTGTGTATTCTTGCCACCTCTTCTTAGTATCTTCTGCTTCTGTCAGATCCATACCATTTCTGTCCTTTATTGTGCCCAACTTTGCATGAAATGTTCCATTGGTATCTCTAACTTTCTTGAAGAGATCTCCTTATGCAAAATTCAGACTTAAACTGAAGAAAGTAGGGGAAAGCACTAGACCATCCAGGTATACCTAAATCAAATCCCTTATGTAATTTGATTATGAAATCAAGTTCCACTATTTGTGGAAGTGACAAATAGATTCAAGAGATTAGATCTGATAGAGTACCTGAAGAACTATGGATGGAGGTTCGTTGACACTGTACAGGAGGCAGTGATCAAGAAAAAGAAAAAGGCAAAATGGTTGTCTTACAAATAGCTGAGAAAAGAGATCACACTAGTATGACTCAAATGATGGAGCCTGGTCAACAGGTGGTATTGTTGACTTTTTTGCATACTTACGCTATTATGGAAAAGAACAGTTGAAGGAAGGATAACATCAATTTTAGAAATTTAGAATTTTAAAGAATAGGGCTAGACCTGGAAATGAATGGGAACTAATTATATTGGAGGCATACAGAGCAGCAGGTTTATGGAAATGCTGGGAGCTCATCTCCAGAGAAGGGTATGGAGAGAAGAGAACTCAGGGACAGCTCAGGTCTTAAGGGTTGGGAGGGAGGAAGAGTTAGAAGGCTAATGGAAAAGCAGTGGTTTTGAGTGATGCAGCTTACGGAAAAGGCATCATTTCTCCATTCATTAGTCCAAAGTGCTCCATTTTCTCAGGATGGATTTTACCTAAGTCTAAAGAACCTATACTTAAAGGCACCTGTAAGAGATTATATAGGGCCTTACAGGTGGCTCAGTGGTAAAGAATCCACCTGCAATGCAGGTGACGTGGGATTGACCCCAAGATCAGAAAGATCCCCTCGAAAAAGAAATGACAACCTACTCCAGTATTCTTGCCTGGGAAATCCCATAGACACAGGAGTCTGGGGGACTACAGTCCATGGGGTTGCAAAAGAGCTGGACACAACTTAGCACTAAACAACAATAAGACATTATACACACTGTCAAAGAAGAATTACAAAGGGGTTATGGAATACTAGACTACAGTAGTCCCCAGGAATGCATCTCGCAGCAAGATTAATGCACCAAGGTGTAAGTCAGCAATTTGCCATTTCAATGACTTTTTTTTAACCAGAAGTAATTACCAATGGGAAAAGCAAGTCTCCACCATCCTTATCCTCCCCACACTATGCTTTCCATGTGATAACAGTTTTTAAATATATAACAGATATAATATAAATATAAAATGGATAAAAACCAGATTATTACTATTTGGTACAAAATATTTTCAGTGATGTTAGAAATTGGCTCTTTGGATAATTAATTTTCATCACTTGGGATAATGGTGAAAATAAAAGCCAAATGTAAAACAGCATCAATCAGGACAGTGCTGTCGCTCATGCTGAAAACAACCCATCCAGGGTAGGATCACGCCTCTGGCTGGATCGCCTCCCCAGAAAGAAGGGTGAGACCGATTTTTCAACCCTCAAGGCCCTTTGTGGCCAAGTGCAAGCCAGTCCCAAGGTGTCAGTCTCTGAATGCTGAGACCACCGAGAATGTAAGAACTTCCTGGTACTAATGTGTTCATTTTAAACTTACAGATTGTACTGGCCTGCAGTTTATTTTTTTATACAATTTAACTTGTCTACTATTCCTTTATCTGCCTGTTCTCTCCATCATCTTCTCCCTTTAAGTCAGAAATAATAATTCCTAATAAACTGGGCTGAACAGACAGTTGTGCACTACTGAGTAATAAGTCATCTTTACCAAGTCCTCACGCTTGACACAGAAGACAACTTTCAATTGGAGATAAGTAGAAATAGAATGAAGAGCAAATTCTAGCGTTCCGGATGGCTAAGCTGCAAGTATACGTGGTAGTTCGCAAAAGGGCCGGTGGGGTCAGTATCAAGAAACACACAGTGCTTACCTATCACACCCTTCGTCCAGATCTTGGCAATCACACAAGCAAGCAGCCACGTGGTTCTTTTCCCCATTTCGATCTATGTACTCGCAGCAGCACAGGGGCTCCAATTCAGGTTCTTCCGCTTTGGTTTTCTTCACTGGCTTCACACTGCCCTTCATTTCCACCTGTCACTACGAAGCACACGAAGCCCTCAGAAAGAAAAGTGGAACGAATACAACTCACATTTCGTAAACACATCCACGTCTATCTCTGATTAACCACCAACGCCTGAGAATTAAAAAAGTGAGAAAGAAGGGGAGGTGGTCCCCTTTTCATCAGGATTTTCTGGCTGTCTTTGGCAAGACGCAGAGCTCTAGGGCTCTAGCCGCTTCCGAGCTGCCTTCAACTCCAGGTACCCCATGCAGGACCGGCGCCGTCTGGGCACCAGCGGTTCCCATAACGACAACCGACTACGCGGCCCGGGACAGCCGGGGCGCGGCTGGCTGCGCTCACCTGCGGGTGCGGACTGGGGAGAGCCGAGCTGTCCCCGTCCGAAGCCTGGGCGCGGGTGGAAACACCCTCATGGCTGCGGGCGGAAACAAAGCGTCTACCCGCTGGGGCCGACGACCCGACTCGGGAGAGGAGCCCGGGCAACGCTCGGGGTCGCCGTCCAGCCCCGCTTCTCTTCAGCTGGGCGCGCCTCTGCCGCCAGTCAATCGCAAGAACGTGGGCGGACCGAGAACGCCACGCCGCCCAGCCCGAAGAATGACCTTGGGAGGGAAGTTACCTGTGCTCCGGAGCCGAGGTGCGGCTACAGCCAAAGAGGCCGAGGCGGAGAGAAGCAGGGTCGGCTTCTCCCGGGGCGCGGACGTGGCTCCAGGATCTCTGCTCCGCGGGGCTCCGGGCGGGAAGACTGGAGTCTCGGGGACCTCGGCTTCGCTCTCCGCTGCCGCCCACCTGTGACCACAACCGGCCTCCGCCCGGGCGGTGCTTCCGCCGCCCCCGGGCCGGCGGGGTTCAGCGCCGCAGGTCCGCGAGCTTCCGGGTGCCCCGCCCCCGGCGCCGGGGATCCCCGCCCGCCCGCACGTGCGGAGGCTCCCCCTGCCCTAGCGAGGCCCCTCCCCGGCCCGCGGCCCGGATGCCCGCGGGGGCGCAGGAGCCGAGCTCCGGGTCCCGGAGCCGGTCCAGGCGGTCGGGCCCCGGGCTGGCCCCGCACCTCCGCCCCGCCCCAGAGGCGGCCGCCCAGACCCCGCCCGGCCCCGCGGGTGCCTCGGGTTGGGGAACGCGCGGAGGCGGAAATACGGGAAACCCCAGAGCCCGGAGGGTTTCCGAAGTACAGGAGAGCCGTGGTTCGGCCAGTCTCTCTGAGACTACAGCAACAGGCGTTGGTGGAGCTCTCCACCGCGAATTGTTACCGACGTACCGCCCCCAAATTCGCTAACCTTCTCTTAAAGGCCCATCCCTGTCCTTGATGTTTTAATTATCCAACTTGTTCATTTTCATGATTTCCGGCAAGCAGTCTGCATTAGACCAGCAGGTTGCATATTAGAAATAAAAACTGCCCTAAGATGAGAGTCCTCTTTGGGTTTTAATTTTGCACAGATTTTTTTTAAGCGTGCCGGCGCATGTATATGTTTTCACTGAAACAGGGTTTCTAGTTTGGGGAGGGTTTGACAGAAAAAGAAGAAAAACGACTTAGACATTTTGGATTTTATTGATACTCAATTTACATAGGCTCAAATACAGTTAATTGAATTCTGCACATATTTAGTCATAATTTATAAAGCAACTTTGGTAACTTTCTTTTGAGGTATTTTATGAAGTACAAGTTTTGAGGATACATCACAAATATATTCAGCTTCTCATTGACCATTTTTGTGAACTTAACAGAGACCAAGTTTTAGAGTGACAATCCAGTCATTCTTGCTCACAGTCAGACACCTCATAGATCTTTATCATAAAACCTCCAGGTAGATACACTGGTAGGTAGGTTAGTTGGGATTCACCCAGAGAAACCTGGTTCTCCTCTAATCCAGTCAATGCTTTTCTTTCTCTGTGAGCATCACAAAAATGACTTTAGCAATCCCATGTGGCTTGAATGACTCTGGGCAAAAAAAAACATTTAAAGGCAATTGTTATTCAAACAGTAAGAATATATACAAATTATTCTGCAATGTCCCTCTCTTGTTCCAGAGACATAACTTCTATTAAGACACATATGCCTAACAACTTTGAAAGAGCCAAAGCTCATGTCTGATTTACAACTTGTCAGTGCACTTGTATTGGGAGATAATGCCCCCCAAAGTCTTCATTAAAGAGTTAAAAGTTTTGTGTCTGGCTTACAACTGACTGACTATAGTCACACACACATGAATGAGTAAATAAAGCCATACGTGGCTACTGAAAAGTAATCCACAAATTATTTTCAACCAGATGGCTCATTTCCATCATAAAAGTTTTCTAAGCTGAAGCCAAGCTTAGTTCAAGTATGCATTTACTCTGACACTAAAATGCCCAGGTTTTAACATAATCTTTTTAAAACTCAGAGCACAGTTCTTCATTTTGAGGGTTGGTATCCTATATGCTTCCTTTTCTGAAGTGGACTTTTCTGCTATTTGATGTATGAAGAGGCAAGATAATTGCACCTCTGACAGCCCCCTGAAGAAACACTTATTTCCTTCATATACAACATGGCTGAAGAATCTTTCAGATAATCATCAACATGCAGATTCAAAAGGTTCAACTATTGAATTTACTTACTAAACAAATGAAGACACTGTAATATTTACAGTACACAAAGCTATGTTATAATATATGCCTGAAAACTGATAATAATAAGTTTTAAAAGATAAAAGATAATAATGATTTAGAGGTTTCTTCTGTTGTCTTCTTTATCCTCTTTAATGTTTACCTGTGAAAACAGCCTAATGGATACATACTAATTCTGTGCTAACAGATAAACTTAAAGCATTAAACTTTAAACCTCACTGTGAAAATGAGGCCATACCACTCAGTTCTTTTTATGTCACAAAACTTCAAATCCACAAAATATTTCACGCTTCATTGGAGAAATTCACAGCTTAGAATTATGTATAAGAACTGAAAGGATGGATTCTTAAGGCCATCGGAGGCTAATTCTCCAGTAAGTGTTATTAGAAAGAATGTTCATATTAGACGTATGAATAATGAAAAAATATTGAAATGTTCCTGTGACCATTCAAATCTTTCATCTTCTGGTTTTCTTCAAGATGTTGTCTTTTGGTTCCACATATCTCTACAATTTTGGTCCTTAAGATCACTAGCTTTGGATAGTCTTGTTCTTACTTAGTAGATCAAAGGTTCTCTGAAGCATAATAAGTGAGCTCTTCAACTGCGGAGAAAAATTTTCAAAATCACATTGTTTATATTTTTCTGATTATTTGTATGCCAGAAGTTTGCATTTAATAAAATTGTCTACACTGATGCCCAAATAAAAGACTGATTATAAAATGCCTTATTCCTTAGGTTATCTGTCAGTGTGAAAGGGCTCTTCCAGTTTGCTGCAGTACTGCACTTCTTCCTATGACACACTGCTTTGTGCTCTACCTATCAATAAGTCCATTCATCAGAAGATCCAACGTGAAGAGCTTGTTTTCTGAAATGGTTTCTGAAGCTGCAGTGATCTCCCCACCATCCCCTAAACAACTCAAGTTCCACTCCAGGCCTTTGTTTGCTACTATGCTCATGTTCATCTTCACCTATCTAAAACTGAGCCATCCCCACTGTTTCCCCTAATCATCCTGCCTCTAAACTTCTAAATTATTACTACTTACTTTGATGCTTAATTTTGTACTTTTTAAAGTAGTCTTTATCATGCACATGGACATCTGATATCTCTAATAAAATTCTAGACAACTTGAGAGCAATAATTATGTCTTATTCTTTTTTGTAGTCATTTTTTAATTCATTCTTTCAACAAATATTTTTTGTTCACCTGTTACATGCTGGGCACTGTGCTAAGTCCTGGGTATATAATGGTGAACCAAATAGGCACTGCTCCTGCCTTCATGGAACTCACAGACTAGTGAGGGACTCAGAACCAAAACAAATAATCTCATCCATAAATATATACTTACACACTATATGATACAAAGTTTTTCACTTGAACAACTGGAAGATGATAGTATCATTTTTTGAAATTATGTCAACTAGCAGAGAATTGAGTTTGGCTCAGGATGAAAATTGGATTCTGTTTTAGACACGATCAGTTTGGGGCACCTGTTAGCATCTAGGTAAAGATACCAAGTCAGCAAGTGGTTGTTTTGGTTCTGAGTCCCTAAAACTCCTCTGTCCATGGGATTCCCCAGGCAAGAATACTGGAATGGGTTGCCATTTCCTTCTCCAGGAGATCTTCCCAACCCAGGGATCGAACCTGTGTCTCCTGCATTGGCAGGCAGGTTATTTACCACTGAGCCACAGGGAAGCCTGTGAGATGGTTAGATGGCATTACCAACTCAGTGCACATGAATCTGGGCAAACTCTGGGAGACAGTGGAAGACAGAGGATCCTGGTGTGCTACAGTCCATGGAGTTGCAAAGAGTCAGACACGACTTAGCAACTTAACAATTAGATAGAGGTGATGGTTGCACTACCTTGTGATTATACTAAAAATTCTTTAAAAGGTGAATGTTATGGTATGTAAGCTATTTCATAATAAAGCTAGGTTTTTTCATGGTTCTAAAGAAGGGAAGATTAGATATATTTCAAGAAAGGAATGGTCAGCTCTGTCAAATGCAGGCACTGTAAGATTAAAACTCAGAAAAAAAGGTACATTAACTTTAAAAGTCAGAGGCTACTGGGAGCTTAGCTTGGGCAGTGTCAGCAGAAGAAATCAAGGCAGTGCACACTGAAGAGGGAATAAGTAGATTAAATACATGCATACAATTTTGCTCCCTCCTGCAACCCCACCAAAAGCACAGTAAAGGCATTTTTTTTTTTAAGGCATAAATCCATGAGGTTGGGGGTAGGGGGGAACAGAAAGGCAACAAGAGCAACATGACTTTGGAGACTGGAAGGAAGAAGGATGACTTGGCAGCCCTGAAAACGCTGAATCCCAAGCCAACAGTAAAGAATGTTGAGAACCAAACAAATTTACCCTGAAGAATCCTCAAAAGCCTCAGGAATTGACAGGCACCTTTGAAAGCAGGAATAAAGAGGAACTGAAATAAGAATGACTGGATGAACTTTTGGACATGTGGCCTCTCCTACTACCTGGGCGGAAGTCTGAAGTCCTATTTTCTGGAGAGGATAAACAGACAATCTCTGGCAGTCTGGCCAGGAGGATGCCAAAACATCAGTAAAGACAGCAGTACTGACCAAGAATAGGGACTACACAGTAACATGTACACTGTGCTCTTGGATTGTCCCATCGCCCTGCCCCCTCTATCCCTCTGCTCTCAGTCAGCTCCTAAAATGCAGGCAGCCAGCCCTTAATTCTTCAGGGAGGAGACTGAAAGAGTCCTCTGTGGAAACTGACCAGTCCAAGAGTAAAGACCTAAAGATGCTGACATGAGGATTTCTTAACCAACAAGCCAGCCAGATATACTGAGAAGTTAAGGGTAGACCAGCCCAGCTCACACATGAAGAACTTTGGATCCACACAGGCAGACAGCAAAAGACTACAGATATCTAAAGAAATCCCCTAGCCCTAAGGACAGAAATCAAAAGAGGGGGAAAGGATCTTGCTGGAAAGCGGGTATGCAAGAAGAAGAAAAATATATATTTTTTAAAATTATCAGTAACGTGATCAGAGAGAAAGATACTATAGCCACTTAAAAAGTTCACAATTTCATTTTTAAAAAAAGAAAATTCAGAGAAATTTGAAATTAAAAATTAGCAAAAAACTGAAAAACTCAGTAGAAGAATTTGAAGATTAAAAGAGGAAATTTCTGGGAAGTAGAA